ATATATATATATATATATATATATATATATATGCATAATTTAAAACAAGTTACACAATATATTTTAAATAATTTATTAATTATGCCCTTTAAAGGGTTAAAGGACACTCAGATTATAGTATAACACGGCACACAAGACTTGTCATATTTGTATTACACTATATGTGAAGTGATTCACAAACTATCAACATTTTTGTCCAATATTAATTTGTGTACGAACACAACGATTTTTAATATTAAACAATTCATAAATGATAGAATAATAATTTAAAAAAAAAATACCTACGGACATAATATAGTACTACTTATTTTAGATAAACCTAATGTAATCGCTTAAAGTGAGGGTTCCTAACCATAATAAATTAGTATTTACTTGCATAATACGTTCCTTTTAACTTTATAACTTTAACAGTACATTGTATTGTTGGGCTGTGATCAGTGATGTTTCCATCAGTATTGTTGAGAGTATACTACACCGTCGAATGTTTGATTATGGACATTTTAATGATTTAGACATTGGTGGTGGGAAAGGGCTGAAAAAATTAACAAAGATTTTGAAATGCATACATTTTAATTTTTTGCAGAAATATAAATTAAAACAATTTAAATATATCGTCTTATCGTCAATAAATACTTCATAGTAATATACTAATCACCTGACAGGAAACTGAATATTTATTACAAAATAAGATCAAGATTAAAACATTAAAAACGAATTACAATTTATAGATCTCCGCGAAGTGCTTAAGACTTGAGAGTATAAGTAGTATTCCCATCAATTTTCAAAATAATATTGTAAATATACGGCGCATATGTAGTATACCCTTTGGGAACTATAATTTACAATAAAACAGTATGATATTAAATACTTGATGATAAATGTATAGATGTGAGGTAGTGCTTATTGTTTCAGAAAGCCATAAAAGAACGACAAATAGTTTTTACCACACAACTGTATAAACACATTATATCTAATCCAAAAATAACATGGCGTGACAATGGGGTGCTTAAAACTGAAAATCCCTTTTATTGTGTTATCTTAAACATAATACATAAAACATAACAGTCGGCTGGCTGGTAAGGGAAAAATCTTTGGCAAATGTTTAATTTACTATTGATTTAAGCTGACAGGTAGACGAATTATTTGGCACTTGTTTATTTGTTTCAAGGCTAAGGTTAACACAAAATTAAATTGACACATTAAAACATATATTATTATATAAACAAAAGTTCGAGCTTGAATTGAATAATTATTTTTGTTAAATAAATTAAAGTTTTTCAAATTTATGTTTTTTTTCGATGTTTAAATACTTATTTCAATAATAGAAAAATTACAGCACAACAAGTTATTAGATATTAAATGAATAGTAGGTAATACAAAGTAGAAATGTATATAAAGATAATACTTTATTATGATATAATATTTGAAGTTCAAAAAAATATACTTAATTTATTTAATTAGCACCAATTTTAGTTATTTAGATTCTGAGTAAAACAAGGAATGAATATGAGTCATATTAACTATATATATATATATATACTAACCTATGTATTTTTTATTTTATTTTTGTATCAGGTTATACGGTTTTCGTAAAATTCCGATCAAATAATTTTAGTTCAATGAAAAATTTTCAACATTTAGTGCAAAGTTCTCATTATGGTTTGCTTACTTATGTATACAAAAATCGAATACCTGTCAACTTTTTTTTTAAATTTTTTATGCTTACAGAATTCAATAAAAAATATGAAAATCTATAATATTTTTGCTGTTAAAAGTTCATAAACTTCGATTTATAAAACCAATTTACTTATATCAGCCACCCAACTCTTGGATTACATTTCGCTTCACCCATCGTTGTTTTTTTTTATTAAATACATTAAAAATAAAAAGTTTATCTCAACATTTTTACCAACTACAGTTCACGAAAATTTACTTATTGAACAGTTATTAGGGGTTCTACGCAGAAAAATAGAAAACATTTTCCCTAATAAGTACAGAAAAAAGTCATGGCTTATCTATTTTTCAAAGTCTAATCAATACTCCATATAATCTTGTACAACTTACGATTACCTAATATTCTACCTAATAACCGGATTAAAATAAAATAATAATTTGAAAATAATAACCAAAACTTGAAATGGGTTATAATTTATGAATACATTGTACATATAGGATTCGCTACAACACGATCTGGTACACTGCAATCTTCAACCCGACGGCAACGTATTCTTCAGTAGCAGTGGTGACGTAAGATACAGTAACCTAAAGTCTCCACTTCAAAGTGGTCGTAGACACTCGATAAGCTCGTTTGGAAATTACTCCACCAGACGTCCATTAAGTGACTGCATGGCAAAGTCTTCTCGAGCCAGGCTCTCGTCTGGTGGCGACCCTAAAGGTAATTAATAATTTTGTTAATTTATGCTTGCGCCTTTGCATCGAATTTACAGTTTCAACTTCAAATTAGACTTGGTGCTTGCACAAATCAAATTAATAGAACAATACTGTTACAATACAATTATTTTTTTTTTTACGTGCGAAAATAGATTTTATTGAATTTAAGAATTAACATTTTTAAAAATTTTCAATTCCTAAAAAATGTCTGACTTATGATAATTATTTTTAAAACGAAAATGGTAGAAACAATATCATTTTTTATTATTTATAGAGAAATAATTTAGTTTCATTTGGAAATTAATATTCAACGGTATGACAATGTGGTGAAAGTAGTTTGTTATTTTTAGAGGAGTTTACATTACGATATCGATTTGTATTTGATATTTTGTACCGTGTTTGATCTTGGCAGATGTTGACTATTCATCAATTTGCTATTTACGCATAATAGGTACAACATAATAGGTATTCGAAAATATTAGCTTACTACAACAATCTGATGTACGTATTAAAATGCTATGGCGCCATGAATAATTATCGTTCAGTTCAAAGTAAAACACAAGAACAAAGGATTTTATAAAATATGTTTACAAATATTTTAGTTTTAATAATTTTATTAGATACGAAATGACTAATATGTTACGCAGAATAGGTTCAACATTGAAATAAAATGTAGTAATAATGTTGAGAACCAACGCTAGAGCTCTATGCGTGGTTTATGATATACTTACATAACGGATTTTATGAAATAATTTCTATACATCTCATTTACACCAATGTATGCATGGTTTTGATGTATTTCGATTTCAGTGGATAATATCGGAACACAACGGTTATACAAACGTAAAATAATATATGGTCTAAATCTGTTGATAATATTTCAAATATATGCATAGTAATGTAAAAATTATAAGCATTTATTGAATGTTCATTTACTTTGCAATTTATAGATTAACTTAACTTGCATTGTTTTGGGTCTTGGTTCAACTGAGTCACAATGCGTAATGCGTTATGTTTATTTTATGTTTACTGCGTTTTAGACATTTAAGAAAAAATTGTCAAGTCCAATATTACCGCAAAATGAGGTCAAACTAATTGAGCAGCAAACGTGGATTACATCATTTTATTTTTAGAGTAGGAGACTAAAAATTCATATTTACATTGACATTTTTTCTTTTAGTTTTTTACGACGTATTTTTATAATAATTTATTTGTAAGAATTGTATTGTTTCTCTAGTACTTTTACGTACTATTTATTTATTTTTAGAGATAAAATGTTAAATAGTTTTCGTGTCAATCACGAGTATATCATTTAATGTAAGATTAATATAACATTTAATATTTAATGTTAGTAGACTAATATTAAAATGTCAGTTAAAATAATTTATTCAACTAGCTGTTACAAAAATAGAAATATACGAAATGTATTGAAAAATACATCGAATAAATTATTTTCAATGATTATTATAATTAATGGGTATAGTCCTTTGATTTACTAAACTTAATTTCTATTATAAATTCTAAAGTTAATAACACTTTGGGTTATCTTATTTTCATCTCCCGTCTATGTCAAATTTTTTTTATAATTATAATTATATATATTTATATTTATAATTTTCATTATACGTTTTTATTTTTTTTTTTTTACTAATTTTTCATTATATTTAAAAATTTATTTATTTCATCATATTTAAAAATTACACTTTTCTGCACCTCCATGATTTCATCTATATACTTCACCTTGTTCACACAAGTACATATTCAAGTATTTTTATCATAATTTTTATCAGATAACATACCAATAATTTGGCAAATATGACGTCTTATCTCTTATCGGTGATTACTGGTATTATGAATAAAATATAATTATTAACTGTAAGATGGTAGGCTCTAATTATAACCATGTATAAAACAAAAAATACGCAATTGCTAACAATCAACTTACCATAAAACATTAAATACTAATCAACACATTCTTACAGAGTAACAGAATAACAAATGTTTTAGTATATTGATTGATAATATTTTTTCGATATTTATCAACAATATGTATATTTAAAGGAAAATAAACATTAACCAATATATGTATTTGTTTTCATATTTTATGTAACCTATACGTAAGTCTAAGGTCGAATGGTTCGACTCGAATCGTTAAAAAAAAGTAGTCGTATACTTTTGGGTATGTAACAAAAATTATAAATTAATAATCTACATTTTTTCAATGAACTGTAGAAGCTATTTATTGATTTTCAGAGAATCGATCGATAATGAAAACATTGGGGGGGGGATTAATATTGTGTTTGGTAGAGGTACCTAGTCATATGGACTTACGGCGATTTTTGCTTATACAAATATAAAACTAAATATAATCAGTACGGTACGTTAAGTTAGAATTGTTTTAAACTTGTGTATAAAAAATATTAGTGAGTACCTAGTGATATAAGTAAACGATATACGTGTATGTTATACATTGCAAAAATCATTAACTCTTTAAATAGAATAGTTTCAAATCAAATGCAGAGATTACACAGAGTGCCAAAGACCAATAACAGCATAATGATTAAAAATGCAACATAGACGAATAATAAAAAACCTCTACATAAAATACTTTTCAGTTTTTAACTTGAATGATAAATAATATTAAACTACGACGATTAGAAAACTATGGAGAAATACAATAGTACATATATTATGTGGCGAAGATTAGTGTTAAATCTTAGTATATACATTAAACGATGACCATTAAGTATGAATCAAATATACGTATAAAATGGCCATGCCACTGTTTTCAGTTAGATGAAAGTTAAGTAATCAAAGATTATTCGGACAGCTGAAATACAATAATTGTTTGAAATATTTCATAGTTATGTTTAATCGTAGACTGGAATAAGTTCGGAGATTAGTTTATAAATTATAACACGTTTAAACGATTGTATACGTTGAAATAAATTCTAACGGGTGTGCAGAGTTTACTGTAGGTAACAATTTAAGGATCGAGGGATATCCGAGCGAACGTTCCTACTGCCGAGACAATAAATATCATATATCCCCGTGAAAAACCCTGCAACGGGTTACGATCACTCGTATTGGTTTTATCATTTTTCCGATATCCGAACAAACCTAAAAGACTTTTGGCAATGCAGCCGAGAACAAAAATGCTTACCGGTTCAATCAAAGCGAATAAAAATCAACGAATCGAAACCACGTGTTGATTTTTCGAATTTGACGAAGATGTACACGCTGGGGTACGCTAGAGAGGGATTATGGGACCAAGTTCGTGTCACGTTGTCGGCAGCAAATAATTTAGCGTTTAACATTATGATCCAGAATAGAACATTTAATATATTTCGAGGGTTTTTTTATGACTCGTAGACCCCGTAGCTCCTGACTACTGTATACAAACAGTAAAAAAAAAAAAAATACGAACCGTCGGCTAAACAAAACAGCAGCCGTCTACCGGTGTATGAGCGTGCGTGGGTGACTCGGGAAAGGGAGGCATAGCTTAAAATAGTACATCGGTCCACCACTTTCGTAGCACGTGTTCCCCGCGGTGCATAACAAACACGCGCGTCGAGGATGTGTTTATTTCCGTACCTGCAGACGGAGGTGTATCGTGAAAGTGTATGCACTCCGAACGCTTGTAAAATAACGAACGGGAAAAAAAAAAAAAAAAGGGACGGAAAGGGGTTGACGAGAACTGTGCGTGCGCCGTGTTCACGGTATTAAAAATATTTAAAAGAAAAAAAATCATCCGTGCACAGTTTTAATGATGATAATAATAATAATAGCTGATATTTTTTACCGTATGAGCGTGGCCGTCGGGTCTCGATCGTGGTCGTACGGCACCGCCTTCCGGTACGCAACTTATACGACACGTGTGCGCGTTGTGGTTAGCGTGTTTCCGCGGCGCACGACCGAACATGCGATTCCCAAATGGGTTTCGACAATGTAACAACAGTTCGTGCCGGACATTTCGGACGCGAAATATGTTCCAATATTTCGGGAGCCGTTTGAAAACACCTGTGTTGACCAGCAACACGAATAGAAACGTGTAACATGCCGATGCGTCAAACAATGTTGGCGCGAAAACGCAATATTATGTATCATTCGCGTTCGCCAACAGCGTCAAAATTGAACGAATCCGTGATTTAAAATTACCCACGAACACCGTTTATTTATTCATTTCAACGGATCGAACGATCCCAGTTACAATAATTCAGTATAATTTAGTTCATAATCGAACGTTAACATACAATAAAAAGTTATCGGATTAATCCAATTTCCAAAACGGTTATGAAGTTAGTTTTGTATATTAACAGGTTTATTTATTTAATATGTCGTCAAACCTTCCACCTATCTTCAACCCAAGAAGTAATTTTGCTATAACATGAAATTTGCGATAAACTAAAGGGAAATTCGATGTTTTTTTTTCGTCGGTCGTTTTTCCAAGAAAATCGGTACAATAGATATGAAAAACTGCCTAAATCATAGGGGCAAATTACTTTAAAATCTTTGATTATTCCTAAACTTATACACTAAAATGAAATGTAATCATAAATAAAAAAAAAACTATTACAGTAGTATAACTGTACGTTATATTCTCAATTTCAGCTCCGAAAATCACATTCCAAATACAAGACCATCCAGCCAAATTTACCAATGATGCCTTGAAATGTAAACATGGTTTTATTACAGTGATTCAATTAATAACAGCTAACACGTATACATTGTAAACATTACTCGTAGTAATCGTTCTAGGTTTTATTAATAGCATCGTATTTGAGAACAAATATGTAAACAACTAATAATGTTCTATTGCGATGGCGCCAAGGAAATGTCATTAATAGTTAAAACTGATAAAATGTGCACAATGACCTGTATTTTATTAACATTTATAATATGATCTTACGGCACACAGATTTTACAGTGACGTTAAATATACTGTCACTGATTTTTATCTAATAATATGTATTGTGATGAATATTCATATATAGTGATAAATTA